AACAAATAAGCTAAACTGAGGTCCTCCATCCATATTTTCAGTTACAGGCTGAGTCATTTCTACCTTCTCTCTGTCAACGCTCTCTGGTTTCATTTTAAAGAGCCAATCATCAGATATTGTCCAAGATTAACCTTCAGGGTGGATATAGCTCGCTAGCAGCCTCTCACCGAGGACCTATCCACGTCATCATTTACCCAGAATGCTTTGCCTGTAAATAAAATGGCCCCGTCCGTGTAATATATTTTTTAAAATTTAGTTTGAAATTATAAAAACTAAACAGCCTACAGTATTTTACAGTCTTTATTTTACAGTTAAAATATATGTTTATTTAATAAAGTCTAATGTTACAACTAATCATGGATCACTTTAAGATGACAAGATGAATTCTGAGTACATTAATCTTTTAATTGCACTGTTTTCCTGTAAGTGAATCCTGAGTAAACAAAGGTCAAGGGCGACGTAGTTTACCTGCAAACACACATGCGGGTGTACGGTTGGCCCGGGCTGCTCTTCTTGAAGTTGGAAACGGAGTCGGGCTGATAAACATTGAAACAAATCCTCCACTCATCTGAACCTTTTAACCTGAGCAGACAAAGGACATCAGTTTCTCCTGAACAATGAGCTCTCCGTCAGAGCACAATTCATCTGCCGGAGCGTCCGGGCGCACAGCGAGGCGGTGACTAAACACCCGYGCCCGCTCTTTATGGCTTTGGAAATTAAAGATCGTAAACTGTGACAGCAGCGAGACGAGCCGGCCTCTGATTTATCCTCTCCTCTCAGAGGTGACTCAGGGCTGGCGTCGTCTAATTACAGAGAGCAGAAAGTAAAGCTGCTTGTTTGTTTTCAAATACGGGATGATGTGAAGCTGCTGAGCTGCACGTCGCGCACGCTTCACATTTTTACATCAACAACCTCTGAAAGAAACGACACGTGTTCTAAAAAGAAATATATCAGATCTTAGCTGTTTCAGARTACGTTTAGTAGGGCAGGATATCATATGTATATCATAACCACCACTATCATTGGTGAAATACCATATGTATACAGTATATGTTTTGCACCCTGCCTGCACTGTTCTGTTATTTCTGTTACCCAAATTTTGTTGTTGTTTTCTTTGCTATTTAGTTATTGTTTGCTCTTCGACATTTTGACTTTACACTGTATATATTACCCCAAATTTTTGTTTATTTACTCTTTGTGCATCTACTGCAAACTGAATTTTGTATTCTGTATTGTCTTTATTTTTATTCTTTATAGCGAGTCGAAGGATTTCATCTCATCCTAAGAATTTCATTGCATTGTTGACTCTTGTTAACCTGCATATGACAATAAGTGAATCCTGAATCCTGTGGAAGTAAATGCAGCTCTGTTTCCTTCTGTTGATTCAGCATCAAAATGTCTAAATTATGTGCCGTATACGGTTGTTGCAGCTGCTCTAATTTGGACAAAGATAAAAGGTTTTTTTGGTTCTGAAAGTAGTGTGTCAGAAAAAAGATGACAAAAGTGGATCAACAATCTACAGCTAAAAGCTGTACTCTTACTTTACTTTACTTTTACTTTACTTTTTTTAGGTTGTCCAAGTGCAGCAGGTGATCAGTTCAGAAGCTAAATAAATTATTTGCAAGTAGATCCAAGCACATAGAAATATCAGGGGTTAACTCGTTGTTAGCGTTAGCTATAGCATTACTATCATAGTGTAAGAAAATTTAGTGTTCGTTAAACTGGAATCGAGACAAAACCACAAAATATTGAATAGATTAAAATGTAAAACGAAGTGGAACCATACAACCCAGATCTGGTTACGAAAGAAGCTTTATTGCTCCCGAGTGAAGAAACCAAGTTGCGCTGCCTGAAACCAGAACTTCCAGTCGTTTTATACAGTGTCTTCAGTGCCTGGTGCGCCCACTACTGGCCTGCGGCTGAATCGCAGGCACTCAGACAAAAAACCTGTCCTTATGTTTGATTAACGTTTTTTTTATGTGTTGTAAAAATGTTTCGGGCATGTATCTAAACTGTTTTAATCCAGACATAACAAAAGTTAAACATTGGATTAAAACAGTCAATACTTAAAAAGGAAGCCTAAGAAAATGGTGTAGTGCTTTTAAAATCAGTACCTAATCTGACTAATAAATTTCTTCAATAGGCTAATTACCTAAAATAACACAAGTCACTGCTCACCGGGGCAGAAACAAGTCGGCATTTAAAGCTTCTTTGGATCCTAAATATTTGACCCAACCTGAAACTAAATAATTGTAGCTTTGAGGCTTTTGAAAGCTTTCATCTGGGTCGTCGTATAATACGAGCTCTGCAGCACCAGGTAGTTTATGCTGATCGCCTCAACGCCGGTAAATCCTCCAGATTATATGACAAGTCTTTTTTATTAACACATTATGGATCAGATCTTAAATGTACACAGATTTTTTTGTGATATGTCATCTGCACGAGAACATTCAGAGTACTTGCTGTGATCAATTTCACTGTTTTGAACCGGAGCAAATCACTTCCTGCCACCCATTTGAATTTCCCGCCTCACCCGGGTCACATGATGCAACCCAGCAATGTTTAACACAAAACAAACAGTACCTGGACGCTCCCTCCATTAAATGTGTCGGTTTAATCACACTGATTTTCTCCAGCAGCTCGGCTGAAGGGAAAAAACAAACATTATTTATGTCATATTTAAATTATTTCACTTTCAGACGTGGGCGGGGCTCACCTGTGGAGATGGGCTGAGTGGGGTCGTGTAGAGGTTTAACCTCCCGGTTCCATAAGTGATGGGGTCGGCCCCGACGCCTCGCCTGCCGCCTCGCCAGCAGCTCGTGATACTCGGCCCAGTTCCTGCACCGTCGGACCTTAAAAATAAAAAAACTCAAGGTGATCCGTTACAACATGATTTATTTAGTTTAGTGGTAGTTTTACCTCTCTGTCCTTGTTTACGTCCCACCGCCGCCTTCTCTCCTCCCTCCTCTCCTCCTTCGCAGACATCTTCACCTTGCGCAGGTTGATTCTATGCCTCCAGGCGGCGACGTCACAGACCCCGACAGCCAGGGCCCCGGGCAGCACTGAGGGGTCCGGGGGGGCCATGTGGCTGGGGTGTCCGGAGCCCAAATCTGGCAAAGGAACAGCACTGAAATCCCGACGTGAGCGACGGGGCGAGGAGAGTTCGGATCTTTGTCCAGGGTCTCGCTCAGGATCATCTGTCATCCACCAGGTCCTGAGCCGGCCCTCGTCTCTGGAGAGGGCGGACCGGGTCTCGGGAGGGTCTGTAGAGGTCGTCAGCTGTGGCTCTGCTAGTTTATTACCCTCCATTTTCTCAGCAGGTGATTGTGCTCGTGTCTGAGTGCAGCTGCAGCAAAAACAAAACATCAGGGAATTCAAGCTTTTTCTCTGAGCTTTTAAAAAGTAACAACTTCCTGATTCTAGCTTCAAACTATTTTATTTCTGTCACTTTTTCCCACACATTTGCACATTTACCAGTTTTTGTTTTCTTTGGTGTGAAGAACTGTGATGAATTTGTTAAAGAAAAGCTTAAAAATAAATTTAATTTGTGATATTTCTCTTTGTTAATCAAAGATCAACAACAAAATCAAGTTTTGCCCTGGATATTTAAAGTGAATGGCTGAATCCTGCAGAATAAATGGAGCAGTTCTGAGCCGGCCCAGTCTTCACCTGGCTGACTGCGAGGGGCTGGGGCTGCGTTTTCTCTTCAGCGCTCTTCCTCCTCGCTCTCTGGACTGAGGCAGGTTCAGCTGTCGGGCGTAGGATGACGGCTCCGAGCTGGAAATAAATAATTAAAAAATCCACAATCAGCTGGAACATGAACATCCATGACTTTTACAATAAACAAGCTGGGTTTTTTTTTTTT